TTGATTCGCTGTTTATTGTGCTTTTCGCTTGACTGTATTTGATTTATTCAAGTGTAACACTATTATTCTGTCTGTGCTGTGTATACCTATTTGAAAGCACCTGAAAAAAAGACGGACGTAACCTCTTCTATAATTATAATCTTGAGTGAAGCATGCCAATGGCAGCCGTTAACTACGTGTCAGATTCAAGTTAACATAAGTGGGTATAATGTTTTTTAATGATTAAAATTCAAGAAAAGTAATTTTAATTTGAAACTAATCTGAAAAGTTTCATACTTTTAAATTGTTTAAGATTTCGATCTTTTTAATTAACATTTTAATTATGAATGTAATATTAATGAACACTTTTTTAGTGTCAGAAATCACAGCTATTTTCTTTTCATTATATAATATAGCAATTTGTGAATTTACATGTCCTTTTTTTGTTTTTGATTATACGTACTATATACTATATATGAAGTATCGATACTTTTGTTTCGATACTTTTTTACCGATACTACTCATGAGTACAGTATCGATACTTTCTATTCGATATCGTGTCCCTAGTCTCGATGGAAGAACTGCTTGTTTATCTCTAAAAATAATGAAATCTAGACAAAGTCGTGCCAAGTCTAAGGTTCCTTACTGCGATTTCTTTATTATTATAGTTAATGTTGTGTGACTTGGCCGTTGAAGGGTACGCAATTTTATAAAGCTTACAAGTGACTGGTTTTTCAATCAACGTTTTCCAAGTGGCAATTTTCCATTGTCAATGGGTAGCGGTTCTGGCGACAGATTGGTGAAATGGTGTCATGTAGCACCTGGTTTTGTACCCTCATGTACCCTTCAACGGCCAAGTCACACAATATTAACTATGATAATAAAGAAATCGCAGTAAGGAATCTCAGACTTGGCACGACTTTTTCTAGATTTCATTACTTTTTAGAGATAAACAAGCAGTTCTTCCATCGAGACTTGGCTAGTTTTTTTACAGAATGTTTTTGGCGGGATATTTCTTACACGTTTTATTAGGCAGATCTGTTGAACCGTTTTAGCGTGAAAGAGTAACAAACATCCATCCAAATTTTCGAGTTTATTAGTAGCATTCTGCATCCTGTGAAGACGTGAACACTCGCTCTCTATTCAAAACGTATTCTCTTGATTATCATTGAATTACATTAAGGTACAAGTCCAAACTGAACCGCAGACCGCAGGCCACAGATGCAGACTGCAGACGACACTACTGGTTTCTATGAAAGTACAATTCCTCAATGGGTTGTAGGTGACAACCCCAGGCGACACTACGACTAGCGCCTGCGGCTGACCGCAGTGCTGCCTGCGGTCAGCCGCAGGCGGCGACATGACGCAGCTGCACAATGTACTCGTATGTAAACATGCCTCATTCACTCCAATACCTTCGAGTGCCGAGAGTATAGTGTTGTCTCTTTTTGTCTAGCAATATTTTTCAACACTACTTTTTTTTCAACAGATTTCAATATTCATGACAACGAAAGCAAAATAAATTTAATAAAAATGGATCTTAAACCTTACTAGTGAAATGTTACACCATTAGCTTTATTTGTGTTTCTGGAATTGTTAGAGCACTTTCTGAAGACACACGACGGTATTATAATACACTTAGCTTGCAAAAATGGGAATTGGAAAAATGTGGGAGTTAGCTCATTCGAGACCTCTCTGCGGTTGGCGACACCACTGGACCTGCAGTCTGAGGTCGCTGCACACCGCAGCCGCAGGCTACGCGCCGCGGCTGCAGACCGCAATGCCGCCGCGCTCGGAATCACTTTCATAGAGATTCATAGAAACTAGAAGTGTCGCCTGAAATCTGCAGCTGCGGCCTGTGGTCTGCGGTCTTCGCAGACCACAGGCCGCAGTCTCGCAGGTTCGGACTTGTACCTTGAATCTTTATAAATTGATTCCGAGCGTGGCGACATTGGGACCGCCCGCTGCGGCGCGCACACTGCGGGTGCGCCGTGCAGCGACCGCAGACTGCTGTTCCAGTGGTGTCGCGACCGCAGAGAGATGGATAGATAGATAAATAGATAGATTAATTCTTTATTGCACACACACAAAAGAATACAAAAAAAGTAAACAATAACATTACATTCACACGAGAGGTAACACGTATTTATAAAAAAGTACCGTAGCCGAATCACCAGGGCCCACGGATTTGTCTACTCAGGCGAATCAAGGTCATGTAATGAGTGAAGAGGGTTCTCAGTATTTTTACTTATGTTAAAGTTAGATATAATTTTTTATCCTCCGCTAAAATAGCATGTCGCTTTTTCGTTTGGATTTCTTCACTAATAAAACTGAGCACAAAGTCAAATTCATTTTTATTTAAACGACAATACTTTCGAATTTTTCCTCTGCACCAATTACATGTTTTTTAATCAGATTACAATAAGTTCCTTCATCGGTTCGATTTTTAATTTAAAGATCTGTACCTCTATCACGAACCAATATCGAATTCGCATCGTTTGCGAGTCCGAAATGTCATTGTCAAATGTGTACTGATTTTTAGTTCTCGTTATGTACTTTGTGCCGCTATTGTTCAAGTTTCCATACAAAATTTTACATTGACATTTCGGTTTGCAAACTATTTGAATTCGATAATGGTTCGTGCTAGGGGTACAGGTGTTCTCTTTTTTTTACATTCTGTCTCGTACGAAGGTATTGGTGTGACTGAGGCATGGTTCTATGCATTGTTGCAGTCTGCAGCCCATTGCGGAATTGTACCTTTAGTTTGACTATTATTTGTTTCTGTGTTTTTCTTCTAAAAGTTAAGCTGCGTTTTAGGGTTCCGGTACTCAAAGGGTATAAAATAAGGGTTTTTACTCTTTTAGTGGGCGGGTATCTACCGGAACTGTCAGACCCGTCTTTCCCAGTGGGCACTTTGGGCAAGTGCCCAGGGCCCCGCGTTCGATAGGGGACCCTCAGATCAAATACAAAGTGCCTAGTTCCTGTTAAATCACCAAACGGAAGTCATAGGGGCCCCATTATCCTAATATGCCCAGGGCCTCCAATAGGTCAAAGACGGCACTGCTCTCTGTCACTAGGCTGTATCTCATGAACCGTGATAGCTAAACACTAAATAATAATAATATTTTTACATTATGATGTAAGTATTTCTGTTGCTGCTATAACAACAATTACTAAAAACAGAATAAAATAAATGTTGAAAGGGGCTCCCATACAACAAACGTGATTCTTGATGTTTGAAATGTTCACACAATAAGTATTAAGTTGACGCCGACTGACGACCTCCGTCGCCGAGTGGTTTGCACGGTGGGTTTCAAGGTGTCGTCTACTCGAGAGGTCCCGGGTTTAAATGCCGGTAGAGGTAGATGTTTGTGTGAAGAATACGAGCATTTATTTTCCAGTCATGGATGTTCAATATGTATTTCTATATAAATATACTTAAATATGTATCGGTATATGTATTTATCTGTTACCCTAGTATCCCATAACACAAGCCTACAGTGCTTACTTTGGGGCTAGGTTAATTGGTGTGAGTGTTTCATATATTTATTTTATTATTAATGATTTATTTATAAGTTGCATATTCACTTTAAACATAAATAATTAAATTAAAATAAATATTTAAGGAAGGCTCCCATACAACAGACTTCATTTCTTTGCCGTAGCTCGATGTTATATTGAAGTGTCTAATGTTGTTTAGATAATGGTACGGAACCCATCGTGGGCGAGTCATTTTTGTTTCTAATTGCTTAAACTGTGCAATTGCTTTTTGTTGATGTGTATCATCTTTCCTCTCGCTTTCCTGCAATTTGTGGGAGTGATTTCGTGAAATGGGACGGAAGTGTGTAACAGGAAGTCGCGAAAGCGCGCTATTTGATTTGATTTTAGAATATAATGTTCAAATGGCTTTTTCCTTTTGTAGTAGGTTTTATTTCTTTTTTTACTAATATAAGGTGAGGTTTCAAATGTTACACATCATACGTAGGGCTGCCATCCGTCCGGGTTTCCCCGGATTTGTCCTAGTTTACGGGGCGTCCGGGGAGCGTCCGGGCGGGGTTTTATTTGTAGTCCGGGTTTAAAAATTTACGGCAACGCATGAGTGGCCCTTGGTGCTGCAAGTGTCCATGGACAGCAGTGACCGCTTATTATGAGGTAGACCGCTAGCTCTTTTGCCTAGATCAACATAAAAAAGTTGAGTTGTGACATTTTTAACTGTTTTTTTATTGATCTGTCCGGGTTCTGGGCTTCAAAATCCGGGGTTATCACGCGTCTTATCCTGGTTGCCACATTTTAGAGATGGCAGCCCTAATCATACGCGACTACTGTAAGGCTCGCTGGTTTTTTGTTTAGATTCGCAGTGATTTTCTTAAAATCCGTTTCCCTACTATATATCCTACTATATAATATAGTATCCTACTGCATATATTAGGAGATGAATACTATATTTCTAAAATATATAGTAGGCGTAACTACTATATTTTGCTCAAAGCAGATATTTGCCAGTGAAAGCTTTCATAAACATAAAAAAAATTATACCTTAGCATTGAGCATCAAAAATGCATTTATTTGCCAACTTTAAATTTATAGACAAGTGTTAGCAATTAATGGGTGCGTAATTTGTTATTCTGTTATTTATCATAAGGACCTCATTTATAAAACTATATTTAAGAGATTTTTTACATTGGACAGTGCAAATAGTTTCTTTATAATTTTAAGTAACGTCTAGATGTGAGGACTTGTAATTGGCTCTTTCTCGCTACTATTCATTTCTCTCTATATAAAGATAAGCTGTTTGTTCTTCCATGTAACTACAATGAATAATTTTCAAAATAAAATCATTATTTTAACCACATACTATATTTTTTCCCCATTTTTTACTATGTACTATATTTTTAAAGGTAACAGCTTCGTAAATATTATATTTGATAGAAAAAAAGTTAGTAACCCTAGTTATGGCAATCGGTCTGAATTTAGGTAGGAAAAAACTGCAAACAAATTGAAGTACTCAACAAATCGTGGTTCCTATATCTGCTTCTTATGTGACATCGTTTAGCAGCAGATAGCGTCATTCGTCCCTCTTCTCCGATACGTCGCACTGTCAAGGAAAATAAAAAAAAACCGGTGTGGGTATTGTATCATTATACGTTCAGTTATATCGGTTTTCCCGCGATGACCGCTCAACTCGACCGTCGCGATTAAATATAACGTAAATAAAAACTGTTTTGTACAACAAAAACATCTCGATAGTTTTAAATCGTTAATTTAGTGTGTCCAATTTATTATTTTAGTGAGCGAGTTATAGATTTAGTAGTTTTAGGTGAACAAAATTGTGATTTGACGAAAATAATGTTGTGGTAAATGCATTTTATTTGGACGCTCGCTGTGTGATTAATGTGACCTCGGCAGTGTTGTGTTTGTTGTTGATTAAAAAATGTATTTTGGTATCGTCCTCCCCTTTTTATTCAGTAAGTATGGTTTTTACTTGACTAGAAGAATATTGATAAGACGATGTGTCATTAATTACATTGGTAATTTTGAGAAATTCTTTGTTTATACAAGAAAAAACGTCATTAATTTATCGGACTTGTAACTTTTCATTATTGGAACGGTGTTAATTTTTAATTAACCCTTAACTAAAGAGTACCTATGTCTAGGTCCGTCTTTGACCTATTGGAGGCCCAGGGCCCTAAAATTATTATTATTAGGCCCTGGGCCTGGGTCTTAGGGGCCCCATGATAATGGGGTAATGATAATGACCCCCGTTTGGTGATTTAACAGGAACTAGGGACTTTGTATTTGATCTGAGGGGTAGCCCCGATCGATCGCGGGGCCCTGGGCACTTACCCAAAGTTCCCACTGGGAAGTAGGGGTCTGCCTATGTCACGTTAAAAGTTTTTCACCAGACAGACACTTACTATTACTAATTACCAAATTATCCAGACAGACAAACATACTAACACACTTATATTTGGGCTTATTAATTTAATATGAATTTGGTGACTCAAAATTTAAATTTTATACGTCAATGAGGCAACATTCACAGTGAACCAAAATACTACCGTTTTGGTCCATGTTACCGTTAACTTTCTTCGCGTGCATTGTTACTTATAGCAGCTTAACAAAAATTTTAGGTAGGTAAGTGCTTTCAAGAAATATTTTCCGTCTGTTAACTAATAGTGAAGCAGGAAAATGGACACAAATATGATCAGTAGGTAATGGGTCCGCATTCATTACGATTTAGGGTGAACGCACACTTATCCGAGCCCAACGCGTCGAACGAAACGGATTTAAATAAAAGTAATTATTATGCAATAAATAATACAGAAATCTTAGACGTCATGTCGATATAATGAATATTACCTGGGCCTCAAAAATAGCGAGTTTGCAGGTTTTGCATTTTGTTCTTATTGCAGTTTCATATCAAATCAAATCGTAAAAAACTGACGTTTTAGGAAACCTAAAAGGAACCTGAGACGAAACGAAATGTCAAATGGCCACTTCAGCAGATGAAACCAATTAGTTTCGAATAAGATTTCCTAAATGAAAGCTATTTTAAATGGTTCATCCAATGTCATTTTAAACTCCCTGCGATTAGACTGGTTAAAAATGGATATGCCGAATGCGCTGAGGACTTGCTGTCTTCGATTAGTCCGGCTCTGGTCAGTGTACGTTTACCATTAGAAGAGGTTGTGTTGACGTCGCCTCGGCCAATTAGTGTCATACGACTTAGATAAATTTTGATCAAACAGATCCGACATCAATTATTTTAGAATAGTTTACGGTGGCTTTTGGCTTTTTCCACAACTTGGCATTATGTGCTATTTTGCGTATGAAATGGCATCAGTGTCAGTATCATATGTTTTTTATGAATCATTCGGGTAGCTCCACGGCCACTATTTTGCTTGCGGTTGCTAGAACCGAGTTGCCTATAAAGCCCTGGAACTTTAGTAACAAACTACACATACACGTCACTATGTTTCATAGAATTTCTTGAAAGAAATGAAATTCTATGAAACACAGTGGGACAACGTGCAAATACGCTCTGTTCGACACTTACTTACTAACGGAAACACACCACCTAAAAGTAGTGTTATTTTTCACTATGTGATTTTCTGTAAGGAGGTAGTTATTTACCTAGACGGACGGACATCATGTGCTCAGACCTTTAGTCACTAAAATAAAATTTGAAATCAGTAGGGCCATTATGTTAAATAAAATCTCATTTCGTAGTTCGATAGCTCCAATTTTAGTTTCAAGACAGCAAAACTTCTTTGCAGTGTATGCTCAAATTTGTTCTTGCTAGGGTTATACGAGACGAGGTTCTGATTCCCCCATCCCCCATTCGGAGACTAACTCAAGAGAATCCTCCACTTGCTTAGTCCGCCATTCCAAAACTACAGCTCCACAGGGATGTTTGAGTGGCCGGTTTGTGCATGCCGAGAACTGGTACCATGTCATTGATATATGCAAGATGAACAGCGTCGGGGAGAACACCGAACCTTGTGGAACACCAGCGTTTATAGTCACGGATCCGGAGCAGCAGCTATCGATAAACTTTAATGCTCATGTTGTCCAATATAATTATGAGCAATTATCAAAAAAATTAATTAACGTAATCGAACGCATGTTACAGAATCGAATAAGCGAAAATAGGGGATCTTTATGGGAAACTAAATTATTGGAAAATTATACTAAAAATATGCGAACACTAGGAGATTAAATAATATGACGAACATACGTGTTTTCCTGCTGTTAACAACGAGTTTTGACCCAAGAATAAGTTCATTATCAGCCGCTCTTATCGACTTCTCCATAAAGGTTATAATGGGTCAATTAATTTAAAGACCTATTAACTTCAAAACCTGTTCTCTTGATAATAGCCATCGTTTTGGTTTTTATCTAAGATTGTTGTTTGATTTATTGTATTGACATTTTATTCTTTTGTTAGAATATTACAAATTATGTTTTGGCGTGATATACTATACTAGCTTCCGCCCGCGACTTTGTTTGCATTAACATAATTTTTCTAACATTTTTCTGGGTACAAAATACCTAGGTCATTAAATTTCACCCAAATCCGTTTTTGCGTGATTCAGTAACAAACGTAATCTTAAAAGGATTTATTTGATGTGTGGAACGCTTTCTAGGGGTCATTATAATTATTACAGTTAGGCAAAGTGAGCTAACGGTGAATTCGGGTTATTTTGAAGCTCTGAAAATTGTTTCTGCCAACACTGTTTATCACATGAAACTCAAGATTTCTACGTTTGTTTATATTTTAAAGAAGTAATCTGCCCAGGGCTTGTTTACCGGTTAATTTTCAAACCTAAATCAGTGTCAAGTACATTAGGAGCGTTTTATTTAGGTTTGGCTCTACCTTAACCTTAAAAAACCGGTTTTCCCAAAAAAGCGAAATCAAAGCGGTTTTGAATCAATTTAGCGGTTTTTAAAGGGTTTCATTGCGCTCTTACTGACGGCTGAAACAAATACACAACTATAAAATGAATAACTTGACTCACTAGACGCTAGCAAACGTGTCAATAAATGCATCAATCTCTGAGCATTAACAAGTTGTGACTTGATTAGTTCAAACAAAACAGACTTCAAGCGATGCCGACGCGTGCACGTGTCGCTCTGGATTAAACCGGTTTATTAATGTTTAAGGTACCACTTTCATTTCGGACGCGCTCCGAACGAAACCTTTACTAAAAACCGGTATTAACCTTTATTTACCGGTATTTTCGAAACCGGTTTCAAGCCCTGAATCTGCCTTCATTTAGCTTCGAATGCTTCGATGTATATATATTTATTTTATTTTAGTTTTTATCTTGATCGATCCATTGATCATGAAAATCTCATTCATTAAAACCAGTTGCATGGTTTAGGTTACGTTACATCTACAGACAGACAGATGCAGGAAACAACTTTGTGTTATACTAATGTTCTAAACATAGATAGGTATCTACTTCTTACTTCAAAATTGTGCTTGGGAAATTCTTGTTTACAATATTTTGTGTGGTTAAAGGGAATTCCCATTTCAGTCACACAATTCGAAGAAGAGTTCTATTAACCATACTACTTATAAGGTCGTCTTTTGTAGCTCATCAGCATTGTTGTACGAGTAGCGTGGCCAAACTATTGACAGTCCGGCTATCGATAGTTGACCTGAAAATCAAAGGAAACATCTATAGGCGCATGAACAACCGATTTTTGGCGTGGTGACTCATGCCTTGGCGACGCGTCGCCACGATATATGATGGTATATATATACAGTCTATATGCAGTAGTGTGTATGGTGTAGCGACGCGTTGCCAAGCTATATGATGATATATATATATATACAGTCTATATGCAGTACGGCCTCCCTCCGATTCCGTCGGCCTAGGCACGTCTTAGACTACCCCGACAATGAAATCACCCGCGCCAACGCGCCTCCGATTCCTCCCACACAGGCCACAAACACCAACACTACACAGCAAATGTGCACACTAGCTTAGCATTAGGCAGACACCGAACCCGTAGGATAAGAGTGCGAAGATCCGGTCTACACGTGGGCGTTTTTTCCCGCCCCCCACGACAACGGCTAACTAGAGCCGAGGCCCGAGTCTCAGAGACGCCCTCTAGTTGAGCCGACCCCCTCAGGTTCGAGTGGTCTAGAGGCTCCAGACGGAGGGAAGACTCCCCCCGTGGGGAGACGCCATCCGCCTGGAATACCTCTAGAGGCACTCGCCAATTCTCGGCTTGAGGTCCCCTTAGGATCTCGCCGTCCCCAAACCCGGCGACGCCGTAAAGGTCATCTGCGACCAACAGCATACACACTCAAAAAAAAAGTGTGTACGGTGAAGCGATGCGTTGCCACGCTATATGATGCTATATATGTGTATATACAGTCTATATGCAGTAGTGTGTATGGGTGCGGCCAGAGTGCACTCAGATTCAGATTCAGATTCCGAAAACAAGCGCGAGAAATAAACAGTGCAGTCGAAGGGTACGGCCAGAGTGCACTCCTGATTCAGATTCAGATTCAGACTCAGAAAACAAAGCGCGAGAAAAAGCAGGCAACCTGCTTAGACTACTCTGTTTATTTCTCGCGCTTGTTTTCGAAATCTGAATCTGAATCTGAGTGCACTCTGGCCGCACCCTATGGTATGGCGTCACGTCGCCATGCGCAATCGAATTCGATTTTTGTATTTAATGAAAACAAATGTTTATTAAATAAACAGTCATCATTTTCTTATTTTATCATAATGCCATATTCCTTCCTATCGCAATATGTTCTTTTCTGCATATTACTTTTACAAAATAATCTCGATGTTCACATTTTTTTTTGTGACACGCACGGCTCTTAAATGTATATCGTTTGGCAAAAAACTAGAATTTATCTCCAACTGATCAATACAATTCTTTACGGGCAAAAAGCAAGTTTATTTAACTATTTTTTTATTGCCAAAGCATCAAAATATATTCTATTGAATATGTAACTCTGTCTTTCCCAGTGGGCACTTTGTCAAGTGCCCAGGGCCTCGCGATCAATAGGAGCCCACCTCAGATCAAATGCAAAGTCCCTAGTTCCTGTTAGATCACCAAACGGGGGTCATAGGCCAAACGGGGGTCATATTATCCTAATATGCCCAGGGCCTCCAATAGGTCAAAGACGGCACTGATGTAACTAAAGCAGTGATAATGATTCTGTTTAACTTTCATTACATTATTAGGTATTTTTATTTCAGTAGTATACTCTATCTTAAATTGACATTCCTCACACAAAAAGATACCTACATCTATATATATAAAACTCAAAGGTGCCTGACTGACTAAGTAATCTATCAACGCACATCCCAAACCACTGGACGGATCGGGCTGAAAGGCATGCAAGTAGATGTTATGACGTAGGCATCCGCTAAGAAAGGATTTTGATCAATTCTACCCCCAAGGGGATAAAATAGGGAATGAAAGTTTGTATGAAACTTTGTCAATTTTAAACCAATCGGACTGAAACTTTGCATGCAGGTATAAGAAGAATCATAGATGGAATGTCATTGTGTATAATACTAGCCCGAGAACAAAAACTGTAGTCTACACTTCAGCTCTACACCGAAGCGAAGCGAGGGCGGGCCGCTACTAATTATATAAATCTGACTTTATTATTGTTTCATTTCAGTTACCTCATCTTCATGGTCAAAACAAATCACGGAAAACCGGCATCACTGCAGGTAAAGAAAACAAAAATCTTTTGATACCAATTTCTCATAAATAACGTTGTTACGGAAGTAAAACCACAAAATAGATAGCACAGAAGGTAATCTCCTGTATGACTTCACTTTAAATGGGTATTTATTTTTATTTGGGCTCGCGGTCGCGCGTGGGATTCTCAACTTTGGTATTTAAAAAACGTGGTATTGGTGCTCGTATTTGTTTGATTTTTTGTTGAGAACTAAACAGCTAGAATATCATTAGGAATGTTGATAAATTATGTAATTATTATTATCCTACTATTATAATTTTTTTAAATATTGATTAAATCAACATTGTCTCCATTATTAATTACAGTGACAAGTGGTTTATGGTAACTAAAATAAGACACATGGACGTTCGTAGATACGTGGTTCACGAATCTTGAAAATACCGCATCAATGGTTGTACCATACCTCGTTGTCCTCGTTGCTCTATCAGAAACAATATCTAAATTTAGTTCAGATTTTAAAAATTTTATTAATGTCAATCCGTCATCTTTGTTTGTCAAAGTTGCGCGACATAGGATGCGCACCAAAAACGTAACGAGGTCATTCATCGATAGATTTTACTCCTCACATTTTTCTCATACCGGGCCCCTTATATATGCAAATCGATTCTTAAGGAGTAAACTCCAATAACAACTAAAGTTTTTTTTCTAGAAATATTTCAACGCGGACCAGGCAGATATTTTTCTAGTAAAATTTTCTTTAGAGATAAACATGTAAGCAGTTAAATGCTTAAAAAATAAAATATATATGTATATAACAATAATTACTAATTTCAATTTTAATGATATTGTTATATTAGGTGCAAATAAAAAAATGGTGTGGTTTTATGAAATCACGATGAAAGTGAACCTTTTAAAATCATTAATAAAAAAGCCTTTCCAAGGCTGGGAATCCAACCTGGCCACTCCCGCTTAGCAGGCGAGCTTTCTACCACTGCCATTGAACCAGTGATCCTATTTGATATGATCTGATTTTTTTGTAACAATTAAAAATGTAATCCGGCATGCTAAAGATGAACGAAAAAAAATATGTTACGTTGCAAAAGTCTCCCTTAAAAAAAAACTGTCTAATGTTGAATTCAAATGTTTTACCGTCCGCTGCACATTTATAATCAAAGGACACAGAAATCTCTTTCTGTGTTCTATGGTAATAGTAACTTTTTGTTCCTTCATTTTGCACGAAAATGTTCACAGACAAAATATGTCTCAGGCGGATGGAACTTGCCCTCGCTTTGGTCCCAAACGGTCCTAGATGGTTGCTCGAACGCACTTTGTAGGTAGACAACCTTCTGTACTATCTATAACAGGCCGCCGCCAGTGCTCACTCACACCACACCCGCAAGTGTACGAAGCTTTGTTTCTGTGTTTTCTTTACTCTTGTGATTATGTTGTTTATTTTCTAACTTAATTAATGTTTAATTGTACATTACTGCAGCGGCCAGCAAAAGAGACATGGACGAATGTGTAAATGTGGGCCTAGGCGAAGCTAAGGCACGCATACGTAAGTCCACCAATGCCTAACTGTGGCCAAGGCTTGTTTAGTACTTTTCCCAAACAATACGCGGAAATTAAAACTAAGTAGTACCTACTTTAGAAATACTGGAAAATCAAAGATAAACAACAATATTTTATCCCATGTTAAAGTTTTCGTTTGTTTTATTTTTCATACAGATTTCTACTTCAGTTCGAAATTTAAATTGAATCGGTCGTTACAAAAACCTCTTAAGTCACATTTTTAGGGTTCCGTAGTCCTGACAAGGGACCCAATATAGTTTCGTCATGTCCGTCTGTCTGTCCGTCCCCGTTTTTGCTTGGAGACTGTTAGTACTAGAGAGCTGTAATTTTGTGGAGACATGTATATCAATCATGCCGACAAAATGGTACAATAAAATTAAAAAAATATACTTTTTAGGGTAGCTCTGTAACATGTAAGCTGGAGATGATTTTATTTTTTTCATCGATATCTACCCCATCGTGTGGGGTACTAAGACTATTTTTTCGAGTTAGGGATCCGTTTACGAAACACTGAACTAAGTTAGAAGTGCTAATTTTTGTTCGTGTAGCTTGTCCCACCCTCTAAAAGCTAAACTATTGGCTTGAAAACTTGGAAATATTCATGCTTTTCATGAACTTTTAAGGAACATTATAACGGTTATAATAGATTTGTTAGTTTAAGAGTAATAGTCGTTCAACTTAGGTATTAGAAAAATTCTGACATAATAAAAAATCTTAGAAAAAAACATTAAAAGTGACGTAGATGAAGTAATTGCTTAAAATATAGACTTTTCAAAATATATTGTGAGGACGACGAGCAACTACGGAACCCTATACTGCGCGTGGTACGACACGCACTTGCCCGGTGTTTCCAACATACTGTTCTACTGAAAATGATTTCTTAATGGTAGATGCAAGGAATGTATTGACTTGCGTGATATATTCTAGGTATACATCATATCTACCGTGACGACCTCCGTGGCCGAGTGGTTTGTACGCCTGGTTTGACACCTGGCATGGTGTCGCCGACTCGAGAGGTCCCGGGTTCGAATCCCGGTGGGGGCAGTGTTTGTGTGATGAATACAAGCATTTGTACTCCAGTCATGGATGTTTAATATGTATTTCTATATAAATATACTAATAAATGTATTCTATCCGTTATATAATCCGTTATACAGTATATGTATTCTATCCGTTTCTCTAGTATCCCATAACACAAGCCTTACAGTGCTTACTTTGGGGCTAGGCTAATTGGTGTGAGTGTTGGAAATATTTATTTATTATTATTTATCTAAGCAAAAAAGACTTTTCTTGCTAAAACTAAACTAACTAACGTAAGTTAAGAGGTTTTGGATGCACTATTGTACAACTAGATGGCGCGAGTAGTTATATCTGATTAATTTCGACGTTTTGAAAAAAAAAATCATTATTTTTCATACACGGCCATTCATTTAAAAAAGCGTGGTCGTATCTACATCCCAGGAGAATACATTGATTTGGTTTCTTACTCCAGTTCAACATCTACGAGTACAGTTAGACAGAACAGTTAGAAAAAACTAATGATATTTTGGAATATAAAAAATGCTGATCAATGTATATACAAAAACAAACATATTTTTCAACCGAATAATCTCATGGAAAAAAGTTCCAAAAGAACAAAGATAAACATTTGTGCCTTGTACTATACATAAGGTTTCAGTATAATTCATACAAAAAAGGCTCTATCATAATTGAGGAATATATTATTATTATATGAATATATTAAGGATTCATTATCAAATTAAAAAAGATGTTTAATTTTAAACATCTTTTTTAGTTAATTAGCTAATATTTAAGTAAAATCATCAATAAATAAATAAAAAAATATTAATTACTACGATTGTTTTGGTATACCACTAAATCTATTCCTTGCTAAAAGATCAAATTTAAAACCAGTTTTACAGGTTTTTTCATTATTTTTATTAATAAATTGCAGACGTTCGATATTTGAATGTTTTACAATTCAAAGACTAAATTAAGCGTATTAAAGTCCTATAAAACTCGATTGCTTGTGCAGGAACCAGTTTTTATTGATTCCCAAAAAACTGTAATTATATGACTTAAGACTTTTTTTAAATGACCGATTCAAATAAAACTATTTTAAGTTACCTCTTTGCTTGCCATGTTTCAGAATCGTTCCATTTTTAAATTAAACGACCAATATGATTTTATGTAATTTGGCCGCTAAACACGACCGTTATGGATTTTCATTCAACTTTTGCCGGCCACTGCTCGCGTGTATTTGGCCGGTACAGCAATTTTTATTTATCTCGGCAAAGGTTGCAAAAATAATGCTCACAATTCCAAGCATGTTTGAAAAACAATTATTTATTAACTTGCAGCGGTGTATCCGAGTTCACGTGCGAGGATGGGTCGTGCGTGCCGCTGAGCCGGTACTGCGACGGCATCAATGACTGCAACGACAGCAGTGACGAAGCCACATGCTACATCGGCGAGTCAGTACACCATGTTTCATTTTATTTATTAGAATGGAGTAGCTTAGTCTTAGTAGAACGGCGGGCTGTTTCCGCAACTCGACACCCAGTGCCTATTTTGCGTGGGGATTGGCGTCAGTCCTGTCATCCCAGCTCCTCCAGAAAGCTCAGCAGTTCCCGGATGTTGCTGCAGGCTTCTACTAGTGTCCGCGGGCTTTCCATTAGAGAAGTCCTTTGTCTTGCAACGCTTCTGCACTCCAGCAGAACATGGGTGCTCGTCTCCTCCTCCTTTAAGCAGGCTCTGCACAGAGGGCTGTCAGAAATACCTATATTATAAAGCTGTTTGTTGAAGTAGCCGTGACCTGTGAGTATACCCACGATTTGTTAGAATGGAGTAGCCCACGCTTCACTCATTTAAATGTATTTATATATTGTTGCGTGACACTCGTTATCTCCATGACAACGGCTAACTGGAGCCGAGGTTTCAGAGACGCCTTCTAGTTGAGCCGACCCCCTCAGGTTCGAGTGGTCTAGAGGCTCCAGACGGAGAGGAGACTCCTCCCGTGGGGAGATGCCATCCGCCTGGAATACCTCTAGAGGCAGTCGCTAATTCTCGGCTTGAGGTCCCCTTAGGATCTCGCCGTCCCCAAACCCGGTGACGCTGTAAAGGTCATCTGCGATGTTGGTCGCATACACACACAAAAAAATACCTTATGGAAATTGTTTATTGATACAATTCTCTTACAATCTATATTTGCAACCTATATCTATCTACACGCGCTGTCCTAACATACATTTGTAGTAATATGTAATTATTTTTTTCAGAAACTGATAAACAGAGTGAAAATTTTTAGCAGATACTTTAATCTTGATATCATACATTATCAATTTATTTTTATTCAAAACTTTGGTACTAAATTCCATTAGTTGTGGTGGAATTTCGGGGTAGTTTTGATGTGGAGGGGAGGAGGGGGTCTCCCCGACTCCCCCCCTACTAAAGATTTTAGTCGGAATTGCATGTTTTTTTTTAATTAACCTAACCTAAAAATTCATAATTTTTTTAGGATGCAAGGACTAGGGAAGTTAGAACCAGTAGTTCTGCCTTATCTCCGGCGCTGCGGGAATAACAGCCCCGTCGCCTTTGCGTGACAAAGTCACAAGCATCACTCTCCTTCACACCTTCGGCTTGTTGGTGGCGCCGGCGGCGACCAGCCTCAGGCGCTACGACGGGTCGCACGATGCTTGCGGCTTTGTCACAGCAGGCGGGAGCTGTTCTCCCTACGCGCCTCCGGGCTCTAAAAACACTCTAGGGGTAGGGCAGACCAAGACCACGGCGTGTCGGGGTTGACCAAGTCGGTTCTGAATTAAAGATTGTTGTAAAGCCACATTTACCTTTTTTCCTAAGTGTGGAGCCCATACTATTTCTTATTTACCAAGTAAATAATAGTAAATATACTTTTTACCGACGTACACAGACTGACTGACATTTCTCAAAACAAACACAAAACGGCGGGACATATGTCATTTTGACAATAGTACCAACATAATCAACATATTTTTTACCATAGACAACGAGAAACATGTTATTTCTGCATGAAAAATTGGCAGCACTGATCAAAATGGCTGTCAAAATTGACTTTAACCTACAAAAATATTAATTTTCAATTTTTTTTTCTCGAGTTCTATTCGTTTTCGAATAAAAAGATTTCGTGTGTGTGTTCCTAATAATTAATACTTTCCGTGACAAAAATCTTAACTCGCTACTCAACCATAACTAATGGAAAGCTGAGCCAAAACTTTTTTCAAGCGTGCTGAACCAGAGTTAGCACTAGTTTCCAGTATTAGAAGTTACTTTACGCATTATCGGACTAGCAGAGGATGATTTTAACTGAAATTCGTAATAATTTTCGTAGCGAAAAGTTCGATTCGTAACTTTCATGGACACAAAAAATTCAAAAATAAATATCTCGGTATATTATATTCCAAATTTACATGTTTCATACCGCGGAGTTACCCGCAGTTTATTAGGGATATTTTCCCGCAGTAAAAAGTAGTCTATGTGTCAGCTAACTCCATACCAAATTTTATTAAAATCGCTCCAGTCGTTTAGACGTGAAGAAGTAACAAACATACACACTCACAAACTTACGCCTTTATAATATTATCGCGAATACGACTTCTTTAATGTTATAATTTTATATTTTCTAAAAACTCAATATGAAATTTCGCCACGAAAGTGGCGCGGAGAACGCTTTCCAAATAATTACCCCAGTAACAAAAAAAGATAATCTGTTATTACGATTATGTTAATCGGAAACATGTTTCCACAGGTCTCCCGAACAGCTAGTTTTGCAGCGCGCCAAGAAACAAGTTCCACAGGTTCTGTGCCGGTAAGTGTTCTGCAGTACCGGTATCTTCTTGACCTTACGAGCGATGCGCGATTTTATAAATATTAGTGATCACTGTCGCGAATTTTGGCAGTGTTTTTGGTAAGGATGGAATCTTACAAATGTTAGGGTCATTTACGCCGAAGTTTTTAAATCAAATTTTAGAGGCAATTTCTAATTCAGTGCCTGTTTGACTTTTGACAATTGGAATTGGAATGATGTGTTAAACCTATAAATGAAGAATGTTAGTACAAGTGGGCCGTACCCATTGGAAGTTGTCCCACTGCCGTCGAGGACGCGACAACTCATGGCTATTTTTTCGCCCAAGAAACGAAAACAAAAGAGAATCATATAAATGTTAATAATAATTAATCGCTAACTGTTGACAGTTCAGATCAGTTCGTCGCTGAGTAACAAGGGCTATAATAATAATACCTACATGTTTATTTCAGGCACAAGCTCACCTATATTCAAAATAAGAATAAGCAATTTGTCCCATTCTTATCTTAAAAGATAGTTATATCATCATCATCAGTCTATTAATGTCCCCACTGCTGGGGCACAGGCCTTCCCTATGAATGGAATAGGGAGATTGGGCCATGACCCACCACGCGGTCCCAGTGCGGATTGGTGGGTGTTAACGACTACAAATGCAGCCGGGACCAACGGTTTAACGTGCCTTCCGAAGCACGGAGGAGCTCGAGATAGTAAATTTTTGGTCACCCATCCAATGACCGACCACTGCGAAAGTTGCTTAACATCAGCTATCGCAGCCGAACGCGCTAACTACCTGCGCCATCGAGCTCTTCGAGGAGAGGATTTATTTTATATTATTTCCCATAGCAATGACGAGTGGAGCTGTAGAGATGGCACCTGCATCAGCTACGGAGGCAAATGCAATGGGGTCATTGACTGCCCCGATGGCAGCGACGAGACCGCACTCATGTGCGACATGAACAAGTAAGTAAGCCTTTTTTTAGATTAGAATGAAAGCTCAGCGGTAGTGGTGCTAAAGTATCGATAGTCGACTATCGATACTTCGGCTTTGTTACTTATAGTCGGCGTTGCCAGACGTCCAGATTTTGGCGGGACGTCCCGATTTTTAAATCAAAATTAAATGTCACACGCGGAACAGGCTTAATACTGTACTGAGAAAGCGCAGGCCGGTGGCACAGACAAGTATGGATTGGCCGCCTGTACAGCGCGTAATGAAGATAGATATTCAATAACTTTGGATTATACGTTTTTTTTACTATGTCCCGCTTTAGACTAAAGAATCCCGCTTTTTTCACTCAAAAAGTTCCTAAATCCCGATTTGGCAAAAAAAAAACTGGGAACGCTGCTTATAGTTGACCTTAAAAATCAATTCCACATAAATCCGATAGCCTAAGTAGGTACTAATAAATTGAAGTCGTGTCGATATTATTTTAAGGATAAACAAAAAGTAGTAACAATTTCTTTTATATCGAGACTATCTTCATTTCAGAGTCTGTATTCTTAAAATTACGCCGTGATGTGGCGTCACTAAGCGCGTTCTATCGTCTGTGCCACGGCGAGTGTTCTGAAGAGCTATTCTCTCTTATCCCACCTTCCCCTTTCCTTCAGAGGACCACGCACGCTGGCCTACGTTGTCACCGTCTAACTGTGGCCACAATTCCAACGCGTACAAAGAAATTTGGTGACTCATTTCTTTGTCGCACTATCCGTAAATGGAATGCTCTGCCCGCTCACAACCTGGGATCCTTTAAAAGAGGCGTGAAGAAGCAACACCCAGGCCGGCAGGGTGAGGATGGCTGGTGTGGCAGGTAGAACTGCTGTATCAGCTATCTTCGCGTCTGGACTTCACCTTCACTTAACATCGGGTGGGGTGGAGTCGTTTGTCGGACCTATCTATAAAAACAAAAAAATAGCTATAATGTTAGTGACCATGAAAGTTTAAAACAATATAAGGTTGGATTAGTTACTCCATACTGTGTCCTTTTTCGTTGAATGAAAATTGGTACTTCAGTGATATGGACAAAATACGGCGTAACTAGTCTAAGCTTATTGCTCATTTATTAATAGGGGGATTAATGTTGGAAATGGTATACACTGTAGAACAAGTTCGATAATATTTACTTATTGCAAAACCACAACACTACATTCATAATAGTTTTAAAAAACTTGTACAGAATGGACAATACGATATTTTGACAGATGCTGAAATGGCATGAAGTATCATTTATTAGAACGTAGGAGAGGAAAACACAGTAGATAAGCTACAAGATATATAATATGAGAGAAAAATAAATAAACAAACAAGCCTTATGACACGAGTAGATAACAGAGAAGAGATTGTCAAACAGGCAGACTGACGTATAAAAATTTATATATTTATAAAAAAACAACGTCAAAAAGGTACCAGGTTGTTTATATTAAAAAGATATACAAAAATGGTTTGGCCGAACATCATTAAATCACGCTGTGACAAAAAAGAGATTACATTAAATCATCATTGCGTTTTGATTTTTAAGTTCTTAACATCATTCTATGTAAATATCTTTATATTTTTCTCTGGACTTTTTTTTGACACGAAAAAAATATTATTGAAATCTTTATCACTGTTTCTTTTCCAGTTGTGACGAATCTCAGTTTCGTTGCTCGTACGGCGCATGCGTGGCCAACGATGCACCCTGCAACGGGGTCCCTGATTGCGCGGACAACTCTGATGAGCTGATGGCGTACTGCTCCAACAACCAGAACGACACCCAGAAGTATGCTTTGATTAATCATTATCATCAGCCTATTAATCCCCACGCTGGGACACAGGAGGAGCTCGATGGCGCAAGTGGTTAGCGCGTTCGGCTGCGATCGTTAAACTTTCGCAATGGTCGGTCATTGGATGGGGGACCAAAAATTACTATCTCGAGCTCCTCCGTGCTTCGGAAGGCCCGTTAAGCCGTTGGTCCCGGCTGCATCTGCAGTCGTTAGCACCCACCAATCCGCACTGGGCCTGCCTGTTGGGTCATGACCCTATCTCCCTTTTCCATCCATAGGGAAGGCCTGTGCTCCAGCAGTAGGGACATTAATAGGCTAATGATGATGGGACACAAGCCTTCTCCATGGATGGAATAGGGAGATTGGGCCATGGCCGTCCACGCGGATTAAGTGAGGATTGGTGCAGATGACAACGATGCAGCCGGGACCAAGGCTTTACGTGCTTTCCGAAGCAAGGAGGAACTCGAGATAGTCAATTTTCGGTTATCTGTCTATGATTGAACATTGCGACAGTTGATTTAGTTCCACGATCGCATACCGAACGCGTTACTACAGTTACTAGTAAAGCAGTTTATCCAGTACGGTGGCGGGCCTGTTATGGTGGATGACCGCTGACCAACAAGTTCACGTTCTGTGTGCTGGAGGTAGAAAAAAGGTCGACGCATTTTTTTATTGTTATTTAACTACATTATTAGTCACAAACCTAAAACTATATTTGTCTCTGTCGTACACGTAAAAATGCCGAAGATATAACGTTCCGCACCAGCGAGCAGCAGAGATCAGTTTTTTCATAAACGCATACAGTGTTAGCACCACGTACCAAGCACCACAAATTACTTAATATCACGTTTTTTATCGCTTTTAGCCGTCAAACTTCATAGTAATTTGACAGTTGAGCGTGATAAAAACGCGTTATATATCATATCGCGGTGCTCATGCTAGAGAGTCTCTTCGATACCCCGACGACGAAATCACCCGCGCCAACGCGCCTCCGACTTATGGCCATATACCACATAAGCCTGAAACACCAACACTACATAGCTAGCATCCTTGACACTAGCTTAGCATTAGGCAGACACCGCACCCGTAGGACAAGAGTGCGAAGACCCGGTCTACACACGACACGCTATACCCTGGTATAGCGTGTCGTGTCGGTACAGGCCCCCGACAACGGCTAACTAGAGCCGAGGTCCAAGTCTCAGAGACGCCCTCTAGTTGAGCCGACCCCCTCAGGTTCGAGTAGGCTAGTCTGGAGGCTCCAGACGGAGAAGAGACTCCCCCCGTGGAAAGATGCCATCCGCCTAGAATACCTCTAGAGGCACTCGCCAATTCTCGGCACGAGGTCCCCTTAGGATCTCGCCGTCCCCAAACCCGGTGACGACGTAAAGGTCATCTGCGATACACTCAAAAAGAAAAAATGTGCTAGAGAGGCAGGTCGATTACGCAGTGAACGTGTTAACCACTGCGCCATCGAGCTCCGAACTATTATAGCCGTGCCACTACTCATATTTTTAATGTTAGATACATATAGTTTCAACCATTTATATTTAAAATCAATTCTTCTAGGTGTTTCAAGTCTACTACTGTATTTAATGGTATCATCTAAATAAAATCACCCTGAAATCTGGTTATCAAACTGAATTTGTAATACTGTGTAACAAAGTAAACAAATCTTATTTCAAAATTAAACTTAATAAATTAGCAATGAACATAATAATAATGATATTTTTTTGTAATAACAGATATGAAGAAGAAATGAGAAATATGCGTCACAAGCGGCAAGCAACATGCGGGTAAGTTTCCTTCCTAATTTACGTTTACTTACTTCCTAATTTAGTAAATATGAGTAAGTCAATTAATTAGTTAAAAAGCTATATTGTAAAAATAATAATATGATTTTATTGTTGCTTAAATTCTCACGCACACCACTCATTCAACGGTACAGATGTACTGATTTATTTATTTATTGACGTTTTGCATCCTTTTCAGGATGCGTCATTTGGATTATGACAAATAAAATCATAATAGGGATGATGACTAATTTTTTTTTCTTCGGTTATCAGGTAGATTATCAAAAAGTGTTGGACACGTATTTTTTCTTTTTTCACATAATATAAACATTGCAGAGATATATTCATTTGAAAAGTCACATGACGTCACGTTTGAGTACACTTTTAAGTGAAAATTCACTAAAAAGTGACGTCGTCACGAGCTATAGCGCGTCAAAGTTTGGGAGTAGGGTACTCCCAATACATCCTATAACTTGGTCATTTTTTGGTTGATTGCCCGAAGAAAAAATACGTGTCTATTATTTTTTGATCATCTAACTGACGGACTAAATAGAATTTCGTTTACTGTACCCCGTCATCACCCCTATTCACACGACGCGTCCTGAATAGGATGCTCAATAAATAAATAAATCAGTGTACCGTTGAAACTTGTTTTATTTAATATGATTTTTATCAGATATTATAACGTGCTTGTATTATTTTTAGGGTAAGACAAGGTTACTGTTACGGTTTTAAGAAATAATTATGCATTAATTTTAGTAAGGCGCAGTGGAAATGCCGCGACGGTAGCTGTATCTCCGTCTACGGCAAATGTGACGGCATGAAAGACTGCGCAGACGGCAGCGACGAGACCTTCGCTTTATGCAGAAAAACTCCGTAAGTTCATGCCGAAGTACATGAGATTAATGATCATAAAAAAAAAACGAGCGAGCCTTACACTAGTCGCGTATGATGTGTAAAATTTGAAACCTCACCTTGTATTAGTAAAAAAAGAAATAAAACCTACTACAAAAGGAATAAGCCATTTGAATGTTATGTTCTAAAATCAAATCAAATAGCGCGCGCTTTCGGACTTCCTGTTACACACTTCCGTCCCATTTCACGAAATCACTCCCACAAATTGCAGGAAAGCGAGAGGAAAGAGGTTACACATTAAAAAATCTAGACTAGAAATAAATAAGTAGGTATATGGTGATAATTTGGCTATAATTTGTCTTTTGCTAATCACATTAGTGCTATACTCCTTTCACTCCGTTTCTTAAAGAACATTTAGTCGGCTGTAATGCAAAGTTTTTGCTTCTCAACAATTTTTAAAATAGTTATTGATAGGCTAAACAAGAAAGGGAAGGCAAAAATATGAGTCAAGAAATGTTTTTCGTTTGCTTTTCTCATGCAATATTCATGATGTTTAATAACATTCATAAAGAGCGACAAGATTTTGACAAGATTTCCGCCACGCTTAGGAACAAAAATTACTGTAAGTACCAATGTTTTGTCTGATTCATGTTCGAAACTATGAAGCTTTGTACTCAACGGCTACTTTATTATTAATCCCTTTGTTTGTAACGTTGCTAAAAATATTTCGATTAATTTAAAAAGCTGCCAAAGAAATAGCTTTATCTGCTCTGTTTTTTTTTCGTTTCCCCATAAACTAAACCTTTTTTGTTCATCTGTTCCTTCGATTAATTAGAAATTACTCTATACTTTTATATGCTTCACAATGGGAACTTAAAATCAAGGAGTCAGATAATATCTTAATTTCAATTAGTACGTAGCCATATTCTATTTGTTTCTTTGTGTCTAACATTTTTTCTGATATAAAATAAAATATTGATGAAGAAACCTTTATTATTTTTAATTAATAATGTACACCATAGATACAGTAATCAGGCTGGAAAAATTGGCCCTAATAATCCAAGATATTAATTTATATCTTTACAATGTAAGTACATTATAAATTAAATGATGGTAAATTTGTAAGTGTTTCTTTATCAATACTTTATTTTCTATTCCAGATTGAAGACTTACAAAAAACCCTCTGGTAGCCTCTATAAGAACTTAGAAAAGAAGCTATGGAAGGAGCACTCAGATTTACCCAAGAAGGTTAAAGTTCCCATAAGGTGATAATGATAGAAACTAGAGAAATTGCATAAATAATATGAATTATATAAGATATAAAACAAGATTCTTAGAGCAAAAAATGTTCGCATTTACTTTGGGTAGGTCATACCAACTCATGACTTTTCAAAAACAGACTCAATTAATAAACATGATATTGTGGCCCACAAAATCATGACACCTAACCCATCGTAAATCTTAAAAATAAAATCTGGACTGTATTCTGAGGTAGTAATTTCGATATAATTAGTATCTTATCGTGACGGCTCCGATTTTATTTCAAACGAACCTTCTTTGCTTTGCTGAATGTTCTTTGTTACTTTCATTCTTCTTTCTAAGGCAACCTCAAACTATTCTTTGGCTTTGGGCTTATTATCAATAGTCTTATTTATATTAACAGGTAATCTTATCCAAGCGATTATTTGCGTTTTGTTGATACTCCTTTTCTAACCTGTTCCTGTTCTTTATGGTAATGGAGGCAATTTATACATGTGGTCGTGGAATGTACCAGTAAATATTCTTCATATTTTTCTTCATTCTGTTGGATTTGTTGTGGAAAAAAAACTAATTTTCTTCGACTTATATTCAAGATGTCAATCTAACTGGTTCCGCTGCACGTATGGCGCCTGCGTTGACGGCACAGCTCCCTGCAACAACGTGCAGGAGTGTGCTGACAACTCCGATGAACTGCTACGCCGCTGCCGCAATCAAACAGAAGAAGTCAGGTGATTTTCTTTATCCATCAATTATTCTTAAGTACCAACTGGAGAATTGTATACGAACAATGAAAAATGTGTTAGGTACACATTAACTTCTCTACTACAAATCTTTTGATGTACTGCTGTAAAAACGTTTTATGATAAACCACAAGCGGTTTGTTATTTGCAGTTGTTGTGGTAACATCTTTATAATACATGCTATGCCCTTTTCACAGTTTTACTACAACATTCACTAATCGCTGCTAACAAAAATATCACTGTTGGTCGTTTTATTTACAATGCTATTTCACATTACGTTTAGATTTTTTGCGTTAATACACTTATTGCACAGATACAGTCATTTTCGCTAGTCTCAATTCATTCTCTTGTTCAAATGATCTAGCAAACCTCTTTCAATGTTAATAGTTTTCATAAATTTTTTTGCTTACTGTACGAGGTTGATATAGTCAATGTTGTGACTAAACCCTCATTTTATTAATAAATATTTTTTTGGCTTTATTCCCACAGCCTTTATTCCTAAATCTGTCATTAGCAGTCGCATTTCTAAGCTAATTTAAATCTGATTTTCACGTTTATGCTTGTTAATAATTTGATGCTCAGCTATACTAGAAAAGAATACACAGACAGACCGACTGACTCATCAACGCACAGCCGAAACAGCTGGACCTAGAATGATGTAATTTGGACATTAGATTCCTATTATTGCTTATACAAGATAATAGATAGAGCTTAGATAATAGGGGTTTTTTTGAAATTCAGCCTCTTATGATATTTAAGAGATAATTGATAATTTTGGGTCAATATGATTCCTTTTGTATTTCATTCTTTATGATGTTATCAGGGGCACCTTTACCTGTGATAACGGCAAAGAAATTCCGGCGTTCGCTCACTGCGACGGTGCCAAGGACTGCACAGACGGATCCGATGAAACCGTCAAGGCGTGTGCCGGAAAGACTTGTGCTTCATATCTCTTCCAATGCGCGTATGGTGCATGCGTCGACCAAGGATCTGATTGTGACAACGTGAGTAGGTTAAAACTTTCCAAAACTTTGTATTTTTTTTTAAGTTGGTCATCAAAATTATACATGGCTCTTGATGTCTTGAATGAAAAGGTCCTCTAGGGTGTCAAGAATTATTTCCATAATCCTTAGTGGTGTAATGTGCGTTTTAATTTAAGAAATCCCTTCCAATATTTGAACCTTAATATTTGTCACGGCTTACTAAAATTAAGTTTTATTGCAAAGTTAAGCTATTATTTACTTTATCGTGCTCTGGAACCAAAATATTGATGTCACTTGTCCAATGGTGCCAGCCAGTGCTCAAACAACAACTCAATAGGAATAGTTGGCTGAATTATAGGGAGCTTCATAATTAAAATAGTAACGCGTATTTTTTTGCTTCTATTGATAGCACCCATATGCCAAGAAAGAAAAAAGTTATCGTTTCAATAATACATTTCTTTATCGGATCGTAATCACCGTAAGCTTCGACGCTTATCATATATTTTAAAACTCCACTCCGATCCGATTAATGGAGAGGAGAAACAAAATAATTCAGCATTTAATTTTAATGGTTAACTTAAATTTCCTAATTAAACATTCTTATTACAGAAAGAAGATTGCGCTGATGGTTCCGACGAATCTGATGAACTTTGCAATAAAACCTCTACAGTCACCCCGCCTGTCGTGTGAGTATAACACTGCAGTAAATTCTGTACTTCAAGATTTTGAAATTGAAGATCCGACGATTCAAGGGGTCAGATTTAGCGTCAAACTCAGAGAAAGGCTAGGAACTATGCAAGTCGCCTACCTAGGCACTGTTGCTGCTATGTAACCAAATGCCTAATTATGCAGTTCGCTGACTGTGCGTATATAAGCAGGTACTACTGCCTATACCTTCACTGTCACCTATCTAAAAAATTTTGTGTCAAACTGTCTCCATATAGTTAATTATCTTTTGTGTTCGACGTTAAATTCCACAACCGCAATCTGTATCATTATTGTCACTGGTCATTACAAAAATACTTATTTTTTTAAATATAAAAGTCCGATCAATGACTGCACCTCAACAGATGTTACCTGTTGGTAAAGTCCTGATGCGAAAATATCTTAACTTTGCATGCCTGCAAGTTGACTCTACGCTTCTTAGAGGACCCCGAGTTGTAGGATGGAGCTTCTATAGCTATGTCTTGTCCACAGTCCGCTCTCCGGCGGGTCCTGCCGACTTCCTCCATATCCCGCGAATGGCCACTACGTTGTCAGCAACGTGCGCGGGGCGGTGCCCGGCCAGAGCTTCTACTCCGTCGGGCTCAACGTGACCTGCAACCCAGGGTACGGTCTCGCGTCCTCAGCTGGGAGGTTGTGCGTCGATGGCGTCTGGCAGCCACATCCGGTCAGGGACGACGATTGCGTGCGTAAGTAGAAGCTTCATGAGACCTTAGGAAGTATAAGAAGACCTTTGACCGCAGTCTTTGTAAATCTCCACTAGAGTCCAAACCTCTAAAATAAATTGATTACATTAAAAACAAAACCAAATTTCTATTACAATCCATTGAAAAATTGTTCTTCTCATAGTTTGAGGACACAAGCAGTCCTATTTTTTTACACGACTGCAAATAAAGGAGTGTTATATATTCAGGGTACATGTGTGTATGTATAACCAAGTATTTATTCCACCATAACTTCTAAACACCTGAACCGATTTAGATATGTATATCGTTAGAATCTTTTCACCATCCTAATTAACATAGGATACCTAAACTGTAAAAAGTATATATAACAGCAATATCAAAATGTCAATTATTAATGTCAATAAAAAAAGTCTCCAAATTATATAGGTCATAATGAAAGGGACCATATCAAATACATACAGATAAAGTAGCATTAATAAACGGGTTTACCTATAAAACGAGATAAATACTATTTTTTTTTACTTTTCAATCATATATTTTTAACGGAAGTCGTGTTTTTTAATATTTTAATTATTATTTGTTCAATTCAATAGGTTTCTGCCGCCTCAACAAGGACCCGAGCGTTACGTACCGTTGTCTCTTAACGGGCAACTCGGACGGTACCCGAGAGTGCACGGAGTATGAACCTGCCGGCACCATTGTCCGGCCAGACTGCAATACACCCAACTACTACTACCCGGGCGTACTGCCGTACATGCGCTGCATCGACGGCAATTGGGACTACGTCGCCCGCTGCAACGCAGGTTTGGTCAAAAACGGCACTAACATCACAATACTTATCAAAGACGAAGTGGAAGTGCACATCAGTGATATCCAATACGCTGTCAATAAGCCAACTAATGACAGAAACGTTACAATCGTTAATACCACTAAATCTCCTCTGAACATGGACTATGATTATAGCATTGATGAGGAGGATTGGAGAATGGGTATACCAACCAAGAGGACGCGATATCCTTTCAATACAAGATTCACGCAATCCACCGTCATTGGTTCTTCATCTAGAATTACAACTCCTAAACCCTCCAATATGGTAACGAAGGAAATTAAAGGAGCTGGGTATGTTCTCAACTTGAATATAGCTAACAGCACAGTCATAGTTAATACAGGAGAAAAAATTTACTATAAAGATGAACCTTGATGTAAATGTAATAAAAATTGTTTGAATGATGCTTTCTTCAAATAATAATTGCAAAAAAAAAAACCTTGGCATTACAGTTGATATCTTCCTCTGTTAAGATAGTAAACTAAGTATAAATTAAAAATTAGGTCACCCTAGCATAAAGATTAAATTCAGTGATTCTTTCTTATAGTGTTTGACTATTCGACTGTGATGATATACCTGTTGACACTTTTTTAAAATACTGTATCATAGTACCAATTATATAACCCAGTAGAGTTTATACAATCATTAGATTTTTTATTAGTTACAATGTTGTCTTTTTTTAGTATGTTAGTAGCATTAAAGTTAAATTCTTCGAAAGTAGATTTGATTATATAAAAGGAGTAAATAAATGGGAAAAACTATAATATTTTTTTAAGGAATCAAAGAACTTACCGTCATCTAAATCAATTCTTTGAATCTTTGGAAACAAACAAATTCGTTGTTAAAACTATTAATTTCGTTCTGCTACGATTTCCTAAATCTAAAACAAAATTTGACAGTACTGTCAAATCCGTACCATGTTCTATAGAGGACATATACAGAGGATCAGAAGGAGCGATTGCTGTCAAATTAAAGTTAACAAAAATGCAAGGCTCAATTAGGCTCATTTTAAAGAATCATGTATAAAAGTTTAGAAGCGATACAAAGGGTATATTCTAAATATCAACAATCGATGTATACTCTGGCTGAATGTAAACTTCTTCTTGATAACACGATATTTTGTCCACAATTTTGTATATTCTTCATGTTGTTTTATGACTTTGTTTTATGAAATATATTAGATTTTTCCTTTTGGCTCGTCAAGGGTGTTTTCAATAATATAGACATACCCGATCTAGCCACGGATATATTGTGAGATTTATTAATTTACTAGCTGTCCCAGCGAACTTCGTACCACCATAAAAAATAGGGGTTGGTGGTAGAAGGGTGACAATTTAGTGTTGTATGTATTTTGTATGAGGTATCATAAAAAAATAAAAACAAAAAAAAATGTCCAAAAACAAAAAAATATGGTTGGACCATCCTTAACATTTAGGGGGATGAAAAATAGATGTTGTCTGATTCACAGACCTACTGAATGTGCATATAAAATTTCACGAAAATTGGTCGAGCCGTTTCGAAGTAGTTCAATTACGCACACCGCGACACGAGAATTTTATATATTAGAAGATTAAACTTTTTTTATGTCTCAAATAGGAATTTGAATGCCACAAATCAGACACGATCATCGTTTATATATTTTTAATAATAAGGTCCTGCCTGCTATACATATACTTTTTTTGTCATGGTTTTGATTTTTAAGGTTTTTACTCATTTGGGTCACAAAGCAAAATCCGAGAATGCACGAATACTACCGAATAATGGCGGAAAGTGCTGATGAGTCAACAAGAAAATTGATTAGGTGCAATTAGGGCTCGCACACGCAAAGGTTCTATGGATCCTTATACCATCATAATCGTTAAGGAATATTTTAAGGAAAATAAAACAAGTCATAAATGGATTTAAAAACACTTTTATTGGAAGTATTCTGTTCTTACCAAAACCCCTAAAAGACCTACATTTATGTAAAAATAAAAAATATGTTAGAATTGAAAATGTAGAAAATTCTAAAGAAAATCTCTTTAGGTACCTACTGGATTTTTTTAAGAAAAATATCTTTATATTTCTATATCTAGCAGTAAAATTATCAAAATTTAATTAATTATGTTAGAATTCTTAGATATTAATTACATTTACTCTAAATAGTCATTCTACGTATAAATTTGTCGAATAGCCTCATACAAATCTGCCGAATTAGTTAATTAATTTTATGTTCATCTGATGTTTCATTTAATAATACCTCTTGCCAGTTTATGATCGGGAAAATTTTAACAGATTTATGAACAATAAATTATTATACATCGGCAGAAGGACGGACAGTCGTAAACAGCGGAGGTTGAGGAACAGGGTCACGTTGTCATCCACGGTGTACGGACGGCACCCCTTAAAACATAATATATGCCAAAGTAGATAAGTATTAATATAAGTAGGATATTCAGTGTACAAAGAGCAGATAATAATGCCAAGGACAATTTATAAAAATCAGAGTCAAGTACATTAGGAGCGTGTTATATAGGTTTAGTTCTACCTTAACCTTAAAAAAACTGAGTTTCATTTTGCTCTTACTGACGGCTGAAATAAATAAACAACTACAAAATGAATAACTTGACTCACTAGACGCTAACAAACGTGTCAATAAATGCGTCAATCTCTAAGCATTAACAAGTTTGTGATTTGATTAGTTCAAACAAAACAAACTTCAAGCAATGCCGACGCGTGCACGTGTCGCTCTGGATTAAACCAGTTTATTGAGGTTTTAGGTACCGCTTTCATTTCGGACGCATACCGAACGAAACCTTTACTAAAAACCGGTATTTAACTTTATTTACCGGTACTTTTGAAACCTGTTTCATGCCCTGATAAAAACATATCACATGAATATGATATTCCAAATACTAACTCCAAAACAATAAAGAAGTCGATATGACAACAAAAAATGGTACATACATAGGAAATCTAAAAACTTATAGCTACCTCTATACATGGACGGCAAACAATAATTACAATTAATTTTGGATTAGTTTATATGAATGAAATTATAGCTAATTTGGCATTCAAACTAAAAAAGTACGATTTATCTGTTTTTCAATAATCTTTGTGATTTTCCTTTATGTACTTGTAAGGATTTATAATTTTAGTTCAATATTTTAGAATAGGAAATGGTAGGTACTTTTTTTTTGTAATAGGTACAATCAGCAAAACATCCAGTCACCACAAACTGGCAGATTTTCTCAATACACTATTATGAATGTAATTTGTGAAGTTAGATAAAGCATTTTAAATCAGCGAGAGATATAAAATCTGGCATGAGGTTGTCTGTCTGTACCTACAAATCAAGCAAGGCCTTTTCAAATTGTTTGTTCTTATTTGTAAATTCGGAAAATATTATTATAGTCAATAATGAACTGTATTGTATAGTTCTTTTTTTATTTCTAAAACTATTTAAATAGTTGGTGTTAATAGGATGGTTTCTTAAATATATTTAATTTTTTGATTAAATAATGTCGTTTTTTTCTGTTTACCTACGCATCCACCATCCTAATAACACCAATAAATACGTACCCAATAGCTCCTTTGTGTTTTATTCTCCTGGTATATACAACTTGTTCCTGAGGTTATACACTAACTTTAGCATGTTATTCAGACTATTTAATTGATCATTTTTTTACTATGGACACTTTTATGAATTCCAATTTTTTTATAATTTTTATTTTCATACAAACTAAATGCTTAGTTGTAATTTATCTTATATGAATTACTCTTTACCTGAGCTGGCAACGTCGCATTTGAAACCTTGGTTCACATGTCCACATAAACTTTTTGAAACTTTTCTTGACGTCATCAATGTTTTTTAAAGTTTTGACTTTTGAAACTATAATATAGACTCTTGAACACAAATAAATAAATAATAAAAAAACATCTCACAGATAAAGACTCATTCTCACTAAACAACACAATTTAGTTGGTTAAACTTAAATTACCAATAACTTAAAAACTATGCTATAAACTACTACTTCCTTTGTACGATATGTTCAACAAGAGCTATAGAAGTATTATTCAAAGTTTATGTATATCCTCAGGAACACGGTGTATATACATATATATACGCTAAAAATATCAATTCTATTACTTAAATTAATGGCTACTAGAAGAAACAAAAAAATCCAAGGTCAAATTCTTATGCCTACATACTTGTAGATTAGGTAATTTAATAGAAGCAATCATCAAATACAAAATAATTGAGGATTCTTTTTCTGTAGATGTGGTCTATAAGGAAATCTTTATAAATATTCAAATGATTGACTTTGATTTCCTTATGTTTGACTCTTAACTAGAAAGTTATGCTATATAGTAGCTTTATATAAGTTACCAAAGTTAAGTTATAAAACATAATAAAAATGTATTTTCATTTTTAACTTAAAGAATCCGTCTATGGATTATGAAAACATATAATAATCTGAAGGTATTTCTAAAAAAATCTGAAAAAACTTTTATTTAAAGGAATAATGAAACTAGAAAAAAATAAGTACCTAATCAAAACAGGCCGCGAAGCTGCGAATGTTTTTCTAATCAACATTATCTATCAATCGCCTACCTCAGTAGGTGTAATACAGGAGAGGAGATAAAGTGCCAATTGTTAGCATCTGTATTTAGAATGAATATTGGCAGGAGTTATTACTATTTTTACAAAAAAAAATATTCATAATTTTACTAAAAACCCACGATAAAGATAATAGTTTTCTTGTCTATTTTCACGTGACCCAAAACGCTTAGGACTGGTGGGGCCTAAAATGACGTCACACGCAAGTAAACTTCCGGTTTGACATTTGATTGTATGATTTGACGTTTTAATGACAGTCGTGTGACGTTACACACCAGTGAGACGCCATATTGTCCAGAGATACGATTTTCGCGACAACTTGAAAATAGAGTTTTTGATTTGATTTTTTTACCGAAATACACAACATAATGATGAATATCCACTTTTTATGGACTCTATAAACATTAGTAAATAACGTGAGAGCGTTTTCTAAAACTTGTCAAATACCCTATTAGGTAAATTTCTATATAAGACCTCTGTAGCATTCTTATTAGGTATTTCTGCGTCATGTTGATATTTTTCAAGAAATTCAACATTAATCTTTAGATAAAAATCAGTTTAAATAATAAAACATAATAGAAATATACTTTATTTGAACATGTGTTTTAAAATTTATTATTGTGTGTGAGGTGCTTTCCTTAAATATCATTGCGATTGTTTGAGGCGAAATTTTGTGTAATAAGCTGCTGACTTCATGAGTGTTCGGGGGCCGTAAATGTAATGTGTAAATGCGTAGATACATTTATGTGTCACTTATTTAATTGAAATTATAGAAAACAAATAGTTAGTCTGTATAGCGAAATAATAAGCATGAGGTGTCTACTTGTAAGTAGTTCTTTTTTCTTAACTTAAGTAGATACTCATTTTTAAAATAACGAATGTTTTGGTTTATAAACTGTAAATAGAACATGGTAAATAAATACATTAAAAATACAATGCAAAGTAGCCGTATCACGAAATTGCAATTTACATAATAAAAAAGTCTTGCTGTCATAATATATCTAAATATAAGTCTCTATTATAAATAAATGATAAAAAAAATACATTATTATATAGTTGTAATCACAAAACATTAACAAAAGTACTTACTCAATGTAAAATGTATGTACACATAAAAACAAACACGTAATAGAAGTGTGATCTTTACAACAATTAATAAACAATTTACTATTTTTATTAAAAATAAAAAAAGTACACGAAACTATAAATAAAAGAGGAGCGAGGTTTTCAGTAGTCGCGTATGATGTGTAACACTTCTTGAAACCTCACCTTATATTAGTAAAAAAAGAAATAAAACCTACTACAAAAGGAATAAGCCATTTGAACATTATGTTCTAAAATCAAATCAAATAGCGCGCGCTTTCGCGACTTCCTGTTACACACTTCCGTCCCACTTCACGTAATCACTCCCACAAATTGCAGGAAAGCGAGATGAAAGATGTTACACATCAATAATTTAGTTTAATAATACACAGTTAACGTAATATGAAGAGCGGTTAACTATACGCGTCACTAGCATTGAACTGCTCGGGTGGCGATAAAAACCTCACCCAGTTACAGCCCAAAATAGATAGTACAGAAGGTAATCTACATACAAAGCGCACTCGAGCATTGCACACATAGACACCGCTCACGAACACGATATCTTGGATGGCTCGGGACCAGTGCAAGCGCGAGTTTCGTCCGTGTGCTTGAGATGAGAGATATGCGTCTGTGATTTTTATGTGAAAATACAAAGTAACAATAATAATAAATATTACTTGTATATGTATGTAAATATTTCAGTGGACGGTTGTTTGAATTTAAAATTAAAATACTTTAGTTATTATTGGTTATTATTTCCATTTTTCCTGTTTCATTCCCAATAATAAATCAAAGTACTAGTACTAGTAATATTTACCAGTGCGCGCGAGTGCCACTACCTCAAAATTTTATGAAATGAAATGAAATTTATTTATTCACACAAAACAGAGTAGATACATTTTGGTGCTGATTTTCATTTAGTTCGTTCATTTTGCCAACGACAGGGCATGTGAATGTCAAACTTAATTTAATTGTAAAATTTATAGGTACTTATGTCATTTTATTTATTCTATTCTAAGTCCATTTTCGTTTCTTAATATTCTCTAACTGAGTAAAAACATTTCGTTATTAGCGACATTTTAAGCTTTCTTTTAAATATAGGCAAACTAAGCTCCGTTATTAAGCGTGGTAACTTATTATAGATTTTTATACAATTCGGATAGCAGTTTTTGTCGTCATATTGAGTACCTACGCATATTGGACAACATCAATCTATATATCTCGCTATGCACAAGCTTAAGTTGATAATCGCGTGACCGCTGAGCTTAGGTGTGAAAATTTAAATACAAATATGGGATTACCTTCTGTACTAATGTATTTTGTGGCCACAGCTTGGTTACTCGAACTCAGCGCTATCCCAGTCAACAAGGAAAAACCCAAAATATTTTTTTACTCATAAGTGATTATAAGTAATAATAGTTATGCTGGTTTTTCCATACTCGTAACATACCACAAACAAGGCTTTGCTCGCGCCGTCTCATCACGCGCGATCTTTCGAATTTAAAAACCCCGCAAGAAACTAAAATAATATTTTATCTAACACTAGTGGCCCGCCCTCGCTTCGCTTCGGGGTAGAATTGATCAAAATCCTTTCTTAGCGGATGCCTACTTCATAACATCTACCTTCATGCCAATTTTCAGCCCGATCCGTCCAGTGGTTTGGGCTGTGCGTTGATAGATCACTATGTCAGTCAGTCAGTCAGTCACCTTTGAGTTTTATATATATAGATTCACATCAATTTCCCCAGCTCCAATACTTAATAAAAATTTATGTACACCGAATTCGGTACAGAGCGCGTTCATAACCATTTTCAACTATGATTAAAGCTGTATTTTTTAGCAATATGTGAAATCGAACAATGTTATCAGAATAAAACTTACACGATCTTCTTTAAAATACAACTACTAACCAGCAATAATAACAACATATTTTTTTTTTGTCCGCAAATATTTTATAACTATTGTTTTTGTAAAAATGAGCATTTGTCCCTTACAGGGCCAAAATAAATCTGGTTACTCTAGTACCTACCTATATTTCCATTAATCTGAGAAACATAAATTTAGTACACAACCTAAAAATAGGATGTTTGCATGTTAGATAGACAGATGCAACATGCGCGCTCACATCAATTTACACTGAAATCTGAATCCGTACAAAGCGCCAGACTCAAGCACGAATTTTGATAGCTCCGTAATTTTATCGCATCGTCAAAGTTTCTATGGAACCTAAGTAGCGCCCCCGTCGAATGAAAGACAAACTAGCTTTTTCTATACCACAAATAAAAATTCGAGGAGCTCGATGGCGCAAGTGGTTTATTTTTATTTATTTATTTTTATTTATTTATTTGATCACCAACAAAGTTACACTTAGACATTTATTATTTATACATTTATAGTACGACACTTTATTAGTGAAGGCGATAACGACATGCAATTCACACTTAACTAGCAATTAAATCTTATAAAATTTTGATAATTACATTAATTTCAATACAAAACCATAACGAAAAAAAAAATGTCAATAATTAAATAAATTTATGAAACAAGTAAATAACAACAATTAAATAAATTTATGAAAAATTAATTAATGAAAATAAATTAATGAAAAAACTATGTGTGGTTAGCGCGTTCGGCTGCGATCGTTGAAGTTAAGCAACTTTCGCAGTGGTCGGTTATTGGATGGGTGACCAAAAATTTACTATATCGAGTTCCTCCGTGCTTCGGAAAGCACGTTAAGCTGTTGGTCCCGGCTGCATCTGCAGTCGTTAGCACCCACCAATCCGCACTGGGCCCGTGGTGGGTCATGACCGAATCTCCCTATTCCATCCATAGGGAAGGCCTGTGCCCCAGCAGTGGGGACATTAATAGGTTGATGATGATGATGATGATGATGAAATAAAAATTACGGAGTTGTCAAAATTCGTGCTTAGGCCTTTGTGACCTACTGTGGTATGTTTTAAATTTCCAATTGCAGTTGCCAATCGCCTGGAATGATTTAACATGAAATCTTCCTTGTTTTTATTAGAATGCGGTCGAGTGGTGCCAAAAGGCATAGACCTCATCATCGGCGGGCGGCCGGCGGAGCGTGGCGAGCTGCCCTGGCACACCGGCATATACAGGAAGACTACCACGCCTTACATGCAGATCTGCGGGGGGTCGCTGGTCAGCGCCAAGGTGGTCATATCAGGTAAATAAATATATCTATGATATATTAAGATATTCGTATTTGAGAAGCTATAGAGCGGAATAAGGGCTCCAAAGTGTTTGCAAGAGATCTGTCTATTGGGCAAAGTCAACTGACGACGGTAACACCATTACGAATAAGTTTGACGACCTCCGTGGCCGAGTGGTTTGTACGCCGGTTTCTTAGTGTCGCCTACTCGAGAGGTCCCGGGTTCGAATACCGGTGAAGGCAGATGTTTGTGTGATGAATACGCAGTGTTGCCAACTCTACGTCTTTTTACGTAGATCTACGTATTTTAGGCCTTTTCTGCAAACCTACTAACTTTAGTCCCAGAATCTACGTATTTTCTTTAATTTTTTCAAATTTGTAAAATAACTTAATTCACTAGAATAAAGAAGAATATTTTCCGTTACTTTTCTTAAAAACTATAAAAATGTTTATTTATTATAAAGATATATCTAAAAACTCTTGTATCTTGTAGAAAAGGTTCCCGTCATTGGTTTTGTTGACTAAATTAATGCTGGACGCAGGATTTGTGAAAGGAGAAACAACAAAACTCTTTGACTTAGTAGGTACATTCGTAACCTTAAAAATTGAATTTTTAAACTTTAAATATTATTCAATGAGTACTTACATCGAATTGATGTTTGCAAAAAGAAATGTTTTTGACTGACTTTCAAAAACCCCAAATAAAACAAAATTCAACTGCGTACTATATAAAGAAAAGAATTTTTAACCTGCATAACACTGCATTGTTTAAAAAACAATTGCAGGCTATTAATTGGGATCAAATATTATCACATAAAAAAAGTATCAATCAAAATTACAGTTCTTTTCACGACTTATTAACATGTTTATTTAAACAAGTGCATTCCAAAAAAACTAGTAAAAATAAATAATATTAATAAAAAACTGTGGCTAACTAAAGGCATTAAAACATCTTGTAAACATAAACGATTACTACATTTATTAAAATCTCAGACAAATAATCCATTACTTAATGATTATTACAATAAATATGTAAAACTATTAAAGAATATAGTAATAACATCAAAAAAGAACTTATATATTAAAAAAATTAAATATTCAAAAAACGTAACGAAATCTATGTGGCAAATAATTAAACAACGTACAAATAAAATAAAGAAGCAATGCCACAAGAATATAGGTTTAAAAACGGAAACAAGCAATACAACTAATCCTTACATAATTTCAAACATGCTAAATAAATATTTTGTTTCAGTGGGTAACAATAATAACAAACCAGATCCTGAAGGACGCCCTTCTCTAAGTTATACTGAAAAAAGTATGTTCCTAAACCCAGTTACGGAAGTTGAAGTTCTTTCTATCTTAAAGTCATTGAAAAATAAAACTAGTTTTGGAATAGACGAATTTCCGCCGTCATTAATAAAACAATGTAAAGAGGAGCTCGTTGAACCCTTAACTTATCTAATTAACCAATCTTTTAGAGAAGCAGCGTTTCCAAAATTATTAAAAACTACAGTTATCAAACCTGTACCTAAACAACGTAACGCAAATGAACCGCAACATTTTCGACCTATTGCACTACTATCTACCTTTTCCAAAGTGTTTGAGTCCGCTATGGCGATGCGTCTAACATCCTTTTGTGAAAAATTTGAAATTTTTAATAACTGTCAACATGGTTTTAGGAAGCGTAGATCTACTATTACTGCCCTATATGAGTATTTTAATGAAATATTTTCAATAATTAACGAACAGAAATATGCTGTAGGAGTATTGCTTGACATGAGCAAAGCGTATGATCGAGTTTCTCATAAAATACTTTTAAAGAAACTTCACTCTATAGGGGTAAGGAGGATAGCACACCAGTGGTTAGCATCATACTTGGAAGATAGGGAACAATTTGTACAAGTCGACTATTATAATTCTAAAAATAACATATTAAGTAAAATTATATCAGAAAAAGATAGGATAGAGAGATCAATTCCGCAAGGTAGCATTCTTGGATGCATTTTATTTCTAATTTATATTAATGATATATCATTCTGTATAAAGGATAAAACTGTCATTTATGCGGATGATATCTCTGTTGTAATGCCCTGCAAATCTAGCAACGAACTGCAAGAAAAGCTAGAATACAATATGGGAGAGATAATTAAATGGTTGAACGAGCATAATTTGGAAATTAACTTTAAAAAAACTAAATTGATACAATTTAAACCTAGACAGAAAAAAAACCTATTGAAACTAAACCTATCGTCCAAAACAGTAAATTAGATTTTGTTACCTCTTGCACATTACTAGGAATAGAAATAGATTGTAATATAAATTGGAAGCCACATATTGATAGAGTAGTATCCAAGCTATCTAGATGCACTTATGCCCTCTACGAGTTAAAGAAAAGTACAGATTTAATATCAGCAAAAAGCGCTTATTATGCTTACGCAAACTCATGGCTAAGTTACGGAATTATCTTATGGGGTAATAGTACCGACATAAATAAACTATTTGTATTACAAAAGCGATGTATACGTATATTGGTGAATATTACAGACATGGAAAGCTGTAGACCACATTTCATAAAACTAAAGATACTATAACTTACTCTTCCATGTATATATATATTTGAAATTAGTAAAATGGTGCGCAAAAATAGACATTTATATAAACATATTAGTGATACATATTTTCAAACACGTAATTTAAGAAATAGAAATAAATTGGCAATACCGTTTACTAAATTACATCTGGTAAGCTCAGGAACATACCATATGTCTGTTTTAAACTTTCATGGTCACTAACATTATAGTAATATAAGTTATTTACGGGATTGTTACCATGTACCTTGTTTTTAGCGAGTTTCCGATATTTCGGCACTGTTGCAAGCGCCATGATCACGGAGTAACCAGTTACTCCGTGATCATGGCGCTTGCAACAGTGCCGAAATATCGGAAACTCGCTAAAAACAAGGTACATGGTAACAATCCCGTAAATAACTTATATTACTATAATACCATATGTCTGTTAAAATATATAATAAAATACCGAATCATATAAAAAACATTGAAAAAGATTGTACATTTAATAATAATTTAAAACAATTTCTTATAGATAAGTGTTATTATGATTTGAAGGAGTTCTTAAATGATAAATTTTAATGATACCTAATAATCTGTATTATTTTTTGTGTGTGTATGACATTATAAATTTTGTATATGACGTTATAATTAATGATGTTTGACTAATTGATTTCATTTTTTATGACGTAAATTTGTTGACCTAAACCGAAATTATTAAACTAAATTATAATGAATATTATGTGAATGGATTATTACTTTGAATGTTATTGTTACTTGTTTTATTTATTTTTTGATTGGATTGACATACATCTCTTGACCTAACCCTAAATGTATTTTATAATTGCTTTAAGTATAATATGAATTGATTTTAAAATTATATTCTTTTTTATTAACTTATTGGCAACACTGTGAATACGAGCATTTGTACTCCAGTAATGGGTATTTAATATGTATTATTATATAAACATATTTATATATGTACTGTTGAAAGCAAGGCTTAAGTTCCCAGAGCTAAGCTTACCAGTGTTGCCAACTCGGATTTTGAAAAAGGCGTAGGCCCGATGAGAAAATTACGTAGATTTAGTAATTTTTGCATATGAAAAGTACGTAGATCTACGTACTTTTTTCTGAGTGAAATTAAGAAGTCAGGTGAAACCGAATGAAACGAGTATTTTGTTATACAATTTCTTTAAAAACGGGAGATAGAACAAAGAGTTCTTGGAGAAATCACTGCATTGGAAGCATTTACCACGCTGCGGTTGACCATGACCATGTGGTATTATAAAACCATGATTTCTAATAGATCACATGAAAAATAGAGTTAGTTATCATAATACACTTGGTAAAAGACTCTAGAAAGTTGTGGTTAAAATTGCCAAGAGAAATAATACATACACTTATACATGAACACATGTTAAAAACTTACTAATTCCTGTAACTTTATCGACTGAAAGTCATTCATAGTCATAGTCATAATATTTATTGCTTCATGTTGGTTACATTTCGTTCTTAAATTTAATAACAGCTCGCAAACATGAGCCCTGCAAGGGCATTGCAAATTATAATAAATGTGTACAAATATTAATTTAAAATTTGATAAAATTACAATAGGATAACAATTTAAGAAAGATAGAAAATTTAAATAAGTTAATAAAAAAGAATATAATTTTAAAATCAATTCATATTATACTTAAAGCAATTATAAAATACATTTAGGGTTAGGTCAAGAGATGTATGTCAATCCAATCAAAAAATAAATAAAACAAGTAACAATAACATTCAAAGTAATAATCCATTCACATAATATTCATTATAATTTAGTTTAATAATTTCGGTTTAGGTCAACAAATTTACGTCTAAAAAATCAAATCAATTAGTCAAACATCATTAATTATAACGTCATATACAAAATTTATAATGTCATACACACACAAAAAATAATACAGATTATTAGGTATCATTAAAATTTATCATTTAAGAACTCCTTCAAATCATAATAACACTTATCTATAAGAAATTGTTTTAAATTATTATTAAATGTACAATCTTTTTCAATGTTTTTTATATGATTCGGTATTTTATTATATATTTTAACAGACATATGGTATGTTCCTGAGCTTACCAGATGTAATTTAGTAAACGGTATTGCCAATTTATTTCTATTTCTTAAATTACGTGTTTGAAAATATGTATCACTAATATGTTTATATAAATGTCTATTTTTGCGCACCATTTTACTAATTTCAAATATATATATACATGGAAGAGTAAGTTATAGTATCTTTAGTTTTATGAAATGTGGTCTACAGCTTTCCATGTCTGTAATATTCACCAATATACGTATACATCGCTTTTGTAATACAAATAGTTTATTTATGTCGGTACTATTACCCCATAAGATAATTCCGTAACTTAGCCATGAGTTTGCGTAAGCATAATAAG